GACCCTGCTGGTATTTAAAATACTGGTGGCATAGCTTTCAGAATCACAGCAACTCACAAGCCACCACAGCATGACAAACTGACAGACAAATGTGGTGGCTTGTTATGATAGAGTGTATTATATATGAAGAGTGTGATCATGCCTCTGGGTAATTTGAAGAATATAGTGACATTCACAACATCTTAGAAATTCACAGTGAAGAAGAGTATATGTTGTAGGAATTTAGATGGTGTAGAAGTTTCTATTACATTTTTCTTCTTATGATTTATCAGATTTTAAACTTAGTAATATATGTTGTATTCCATAAATATGGTTCAGGATACATTAAATGCCCAGTTCTAGATGATGAGCAATAGAGATTTTCTTTTCTTTTTGTAATTTTGTGACTACTAAGATGACTGGCACTTCCGTTCATGGCTCTTCTGTCATCTCCTGCTTTGTTCCCCACACAGGGTCGCCATGTGGAAGTGTTTGAGCTCCTCAAGCCACTGAGTGGAGGTCTCGGGTTCAGTGTTGTAGGACTAAGGAGTGAGAACAGGGGAGAACTGGGAATCTTTGTGCAAGAAATACAGGAGGGCAGTGTGGCTCACAAGTAAGTGCCATAACATCTTCTCTGTTTTTATACCCATGAGAGAGTCTGAAGAAAGCAAAAACAGAATTAAAACAACTTTTAAAACCTGACTGTAATATGTCATTACCTAGATTTAGTCCGTGGGTGGTTCGGCTAATTAGAAGAAAGACCTGCTGCTTTGGTTCTGAAGACGTCATTGAATACTGTTTAGTTTTCAGTGTACTCTGACACACATGGATTTGCTAACCACAAGGTTGGTGGTTCAAACCCACCAGCCGTTCTCGGTAACTCTATACAGGGTCACTATTTGTTAGAACCAATTTGACGGCATCAAACAACAACCTAAAACAACAATACAGTGAAAAGAGCAAGTTTTTAAAAATAAGATAAATGTAGCTTTTGGATATAATCATAACTTAATTTCTTTTAAATAAGGAACGATATGAGTAGAACATCATCATTTTCTCTGTTATTAGATAGGTCCTTTTGTATTTGATTTTTGACATTATTCTACAGAAAAATGTACAAAGGGCCTATGGTATTTTGGTCTGTATTTAATTAATATACTCAAAATACTAAATAAATGCAGACATCTAGACTTTAATTTTTGGAGAAGCAGTAGTGAGGTAGTGTTTAAGCGTTCATATGCCACCTGAGAGGGTAACGCTTTGAATCCACTGGCTGCTCCAAGAGAGAGACATGTTCGTTCTGTTTCCATAAAGTTTATAGCTTTGTTTCCTGTTGCTGTATTGTGTCTCTGTCCTTTAAGGTCACTACGAGTCTGAATTAACCCGGCAGTAGTGAGTCCTTTCATTTTTAGATGTGAGGACCATCCAAGATGTAGTGTAAGGGTCGAGTTGGTAGCTTACAGAAGATGACTTTTAAATGGGAGGAGTTAATTGGAAGGACAGTGGACTTACCTTCAAAGAGTGGATCACCTAGTACCAAAACCTTTTTTAAAAAGTAGAATTGTGGGGAAAGATTGAAAAAAGGTGGAAACTGCAAAATGGGATTAAGAACAACCTGAATTTGTGTGCCATTTCTAGGAGAGCTGTCGTATGTTTTCCCTCTTTTTGTTTTTTTGTCTTTGATAGAGATGGAAGGTTGAAGGAAACGGATCAGATCCTTGCTATCAATGGGCAGGCACTGGACCAGACTATTACCCATCAGCAGGCCATCAGCATCCTCCAGAAAGCCAAAGAAAATGTCCAGCTAGTGATCGCCAGAGGATCCTTGCCTCAGCTCATCAGCCCCATCGTGTCACGTTCTCCATCCGCGGCCAGCACCATTTCAGCTCACTCCAATCCCGTGAGTACAGAAGATGTTTAAAAAGAACAGATTATGTTTTTCTAGTTCTTTCTGGTTGTCTGTAAAATTTTGATTCCTTTAGTTTCTTTGTGCTTTTTGAGTTTTGCCTGATTAATTCTTTTATCTGCATTTAGTCTGGTATATTTTTTATTTAAACATGATGATGTTTATAGCTTCTGAAACATCCTTGCACTGTAGTTTTTTATTTGACTGCCTTTCCCAAAGATAACTTAGGCTTTTAACACAATCAGCTTTATTTGTAGAGTAAGATAAAGTTGATTGTGTTAAAAATGAGATAAAGTTGATTGTGTGATCTTGCTCTGTGAAATATAGAGCTGTATTACACAACTGCATTTAGATGATTTCAAATCATCTAATTTGGAATCCTGCCTCCAGAAAGAAATTATACAGAAACATCCTTAATTGGAAATCAATTTTTTTCTTGATCTCTGCCTTTTTTTTTTTAAAGTTCTGCAAAGGGCCTTACAAATCAATGCCCATTTTTCACTGGAAGAGTTCAGTTCAATTACTATAAAGATGCATTCATGGTATCAAGAATTATTATGCCAATTATTGTTGTTGTCGTTGAGCACCGTTGACTCGTAGTTCTGACTCATAGCGACCCTGTGTAAGCTTCTAAGGAGTGGCAGGTAGGTTTGAACACCAGCCTTGTGGCTAACAATGCAGTGCTTGGTCTCCAGAGCTCTGTCAGCACTCTCTCTCAGGACACTTACAGCAACAGCAACAGCAGTAACCATGTGTTGAAAGGGAAGTACAGGTCATGCAGATAGTCTTCAATTTATGGCCTATTTGAGTTTTGAAGAATTGTACTTTCAATTGTTATGTTTTGGGGATTTTATGTGGGGTTCATCAATAGTACTGCATACATAGTATTACATACAATGTTATTATGTAACTGTACATTTTTCAACCCCTAAAGGAAATAAAGTTGGAATTGATAAAGATACTGATAATAAAAAACAATAATAAATGAAAAACAAACAAGCAAACAAAACAACAAAAACTTGAGGTATTATGTCAGAATCAAATTACGATACAGTCCTCACAACAGAACTTTGTCATAAGTTTGAGACTTCCTGAATACAAATAAAAGGGATCAAACACATACTGTTAGGAGTCCATTTTATGTCTGAAGTCAATAATCTAACACTTAACATAATACAAAGATGTCAACAGTAATACAACATTCTCATTTTTCCTAAAATTTGCAAACTCACATAGGACCTTTGTTTTCAGGTTCACTGGCAACATGTGGAAAGTATTGAGCTGGTGAATGATGGGTCTGGACTAGGATTTGGCATCATAGGAGGAAAAGCAACTGGTGTGATAGTCAAAACCATCCTGCCTGGAGGAGTAGCTGATCAGGTAATCTGGCCTTTTAAGCTGTTTTACCAAGTAATATGGCTTCATCTTTCATCCTCTTTATGGTGTAGGATAAGCACTGGACTCCAAACTGAAAGATGGCTGGCTGAAACCCACCAGCCGCTCCTGCGGAAAAAGCTGCAAAACCCTGTGGAGGGTCTCTGAGTCAGAATTGACTCAATGACAGTGGGCTGTTGTCTTTTCTTTTTAAATTTTAGAAGAAACTTTGGTCATCATTAGTGACAAAGCAACCCTGTGTGAGTCTTCTCTTTAACTGGACTATCCTTAAAGTGTTCTCTTAGACCTGAGGGACATCATCTTCGAAAGAGACACTAATCTTCAATTATAGTTACACACAGTGATCTGAAAGCGTTTAGAATCACAGACTAAATGAAGGCTATGGTTAGGATCGTTACTGAGGTAACGTAGGTAGCTGTCTTTTAGGTACAAGATATTATGGAAAAGGAATACTTAATTTTATTGGGAGTGCCGTGACTCTGTAGGATAAGCACTGGATTGCGAACCATATGGTTGGAGGTTCAAGCCCACCAGCTTCCCCTTGGAAGAAATATGCGACTTTCTGTCCCCAAAAAGATTTATAGCCTCAGAAACCCTATGAAAGGTACATATGAGTTTTTGAAGTGCTAGTTTTGTTGTTGTTATTTATTTATTTTTTTTTTTGGGGGGGGATATTTATTTTTGGCAACATACATTCAGTGGCACTAATTACACAGTAACCATAAGGTAACTTACATGAAACCACAGAACTGAAACTTAGCCACAGCTACATGGACTTGGGCCTTTCTGGCTGAGCACTCTTGCAAAAAACTGGATGCCCACTTCAGAGCTATGCCAATGAAAACACACTTCTGAGTAAAGTTCTGAAGTGGTGACTCACTAGAGTAGCCCACAGCTGACAGATAATAGGCAGGACATGTAAGTTTTAAAGTAGTTACAGCCTGATTCACAAAAAGTTACCAGTGGCACTTAACGACAACAACTCGATTATTAAGGAGAAAGAGAAGACTTAACTTGTCCCTTTAGTGCTGGGTCACTGTTGTCACCTTGTATATGAAGTACAGCTTGTTTTCATTATTTAGAGTAATTTTTGTAAGCATCGCCATTCATAATATATGGCATTGTCATAATATATGAAAAGACTTCATAAAATTTAAAACTATGACTCACATTTTAATCATACAAGTCATAGTAGTTGAAACTGTCTTGACTATAACTTATAAACCGGTCTGATTTTGCATGTCTATTTCAACTTCACTCTCAGAAGTCAGACTTATCAAACATTTCTGATGTTCACAAATGAAAATGCCATTTAATGGCCAACTTTTCAGTGGAGGTTTTAATGATAATGGAATATAATTCTAAATGTTTCTTCCTTTACACATTAGCCAGCATGTAGCAGTGGTGTGGAACTGTAAGATGAGCATTGTACTGTTAACCTAAAGATAGGCAGTTGAAACCAACCTGCTACTCCTCAGAAATCCTATAAAGCATTGCTGAGTCAGAACCAGCTTGAAAGTACTTAACAAAAACAGCAAACAGTATTGAAGAGGTCACTGGGTGGTACAATTAACATGCTTGAGTGCTAACTGAAAGGTTAGAGGTTTGAATCTACCCAGAGGCATCTTGAAAGACAGGGCTGATGATCTCCTCTCCAAAAATTAGTCATTGAATACCCTATGGTGCACAGCTCTATTCTGGCTCTTATGGGGTTCCCATGAGTCAGAAACAGCTCATTGACAAATGAGTTAACAGTACCAAGTGAAAATCCCCAGTTGTTAGGTTTGTGATCTAAATGGTTTCTCTTCCATGCAGATCTGTGTTGTCTAATACTCTGGCCACTCACCACCTGCCACTTTAAAATGTTTCATTAAAATCAAATAAAATTTAAAATTCCATTCCTCGATTGGACTAGCCGTATTTCAAGTGCTCCTTCACCACATGTTGCTGGGGACTGCTAGTGGGCCAGTGCCCACCTTATCCATCCTCACAGGAAGCTCTTCTGGACACTTGGATGGAGGCTTGTGTGATTGCTTTCTACTTGCCTCCTGTATCTGAATTTTCATCTGGCAAGGACTTCATCTGAAATGCATCATTCACAGACATTCATAATTGAAGGGGCCAGCCTTATAAGACAGATTTGTAAGTTATTAATCCTGTACTTTCTTGGGGGTTCATACCGCATTTGGAGTGGAGTTGCATGCATTTGCATAGCAAGCTCCTAGTTCATCTTTGGTTGGTGGCATTTTCTTTTTCTGTCTCTCAACGAAAAGCTCAAAAAGACTATTTTATTGCATCTAGTAGGTGGAAATCAAAAAGGAAAGTTTATAACAACTACTGACTTAAGGCATATCTATGAATTTCAGCAACTTAGATCACATTGAATCATACTTAGAGTGTTTCAGAAGGCGTTCTGAAATTGATATTATAATCACGTATATTGCGCCACCATAGAAAATTCCTATCATTGCCATTTGCTATTGTTCCCTTTCCCTCAACTTAGGAGTTCTGTAACACAGCCTAAACAACACTAGCCTGATTATTCTCTTTTGGTTCAGCATGGGCGCCTGTGCAGTGGAGACCACATTCTAAAGATTGGTGACACAGATCTAGCAGGAATGAGCAGTGAGCAAGTAGCCCAAGTCCTCAGGCAGTGTGGAAACAGAGTGAAGCTGCTGATTGCAAGAGGGGCCGTAGAAGAAGCAAGTGCATCTGCCTCTTTGGGCATCACCCACTCCTCATCGTCATCTACCACGCCAGAGATGCGGGTAAGTATGGAAAACAGATGAGTGAATATAAAGGACAATATCACATAGATGGCAGTGGCATTTACTGAGAAACTAGTCCTAATTAATGTTCATACAGTAATGTTAAGAATGAAACACAATTCAAATATAAGTATGTTTCCACAATGACAGTACACAGTTATACATAAGCAAGAGTACTATGTAACACCAGTGCTTGAAAAATTCTAAGTTACTACTTTGCATCTTTCTGTAAGCAGCACATGCACAAGACTAATTTGAAGTATGGGTCAAATTGTAAAGGAAAGATTATTTGCTACTAATACCTAAAATGTTTAGCTCCATCTTTCTCTCAAAAAGCTCTCTAAGAGGCAGATCTTATGCTCTAATCCTTCTGTTTCCACACATTTCTTTAAAAATTTTATTTGTTTTAATGTACTATGATTGAGGCTTGGGGCTGAATAAAGCTTTTCACAGTCTTTCAACATTATTGTTTTAAGGCATGTCAGAGAATTGTTATCAGATTTGTAATAAGAAGTTGCTACTCTTGACTGGGTTATGTAATCTTCTATACAAAAATCATGCTTTTGAGGTTGTAACAAAAGCTTTATTCAAAACCATAGCAGTCCATCTTTGTCCTTGATTTTATATGAAAAAAAGCTGGAAATGTTCAAAATTACTGGAATGTGGTAGTTACTTCAGATCATTTACAGGTCACAAGTTTACAGAGGATAAAATGTCCACAAAATATTTTTATCCAGAAATCTTGGACATTTTTGAGAAGAGACTGATACCATATTTCTAAATAAGTTTTAGAGCAAGTACGAGGCCTAAATCCTTCCCCAGTCATATGAAAACATTTATATAATTTTTTGTACTAATTGCTTTTCTAACTAGTTGTCACAAATTCATATATATAT